ACAAAATCTTGTTCTTCATATTTTAATAATTAAGTCATACAAAATGGGTTGATAAAATATGAAGAGAATCTGGGTTTCAAAGAATCCCTTAATAGATTGATACTGGCGTACCTTTCATTTCGTTTGAGAAGGCGAGTCAAAGGGATTTATACATTGGTCTCATCGGTTATCGCAGGAGGGTTGCCTTGGACTTTTGTCTGTTGAATTGTGTCAAGAAGACCTTGGCTCATCGTCTTACGACCCCGATGACTCCGTGCTGAGCTTTCGGACATCGTCAGAGCCAGAAACTAGTATTCATGAAAAATTTCACAAAAAGCTCTAAGCCGAGAAAGGTTTAATATTTAATGGTTTCTGACTCTGACGATGTCCGCCACATGACGGACGAAAGATCAGCACGGAGTCATCGGGGTCGTAAGACGATGAGCCGAGCTCTTCTTGACACAATTCAACAGACAAAAGTCCAAGACAATCCTCCTGCGGTATTCGATGAGGCCAATGTTCGAATCACTTCAACCCGCCTTCTCAAACGAAATGAAGGGTACGCCAGTATGAGTTGATGAAAGCCTTTTATGCACGGTTAAACGTCAAAAACACTCGGATTCAGGCCATACATCTTTCGTGCTTCAATGAAGCCTCCAAGGCGATGAGAGTGTTGACAATAAATTGTCAATGCTCCAAGAGGGGTTTGTCTCAACCTTTTCGTAACCATATGGTGCAATGGCCAGTTCCGAGTGATGGTGGCGGGACTAAGCCGACAGAAATTGAAGTCCTCCATGGCAGAGTGTACTTTTCAGACAGATACCGGGATTTTAATTACCCTAGCAACAAAGGCTTTACTCCTACTTATGGCCTTGTCACCCTGCTTCCCTGAAAGAGGCGACCTCACATCACCGTCAGCATAATGGACGTATTAGTCGTGGTTGGTGCGAGATTATTTGTAGGTATAGAAGTCGTGTGACCTCGTTTTCACAGCTTGATCGTGTTGCCATTACGACCCGGGTGAATGCAGCTTGTCCGGCGTCTTCCTCCGTGGCCTTTGGTACCCTCCCAGACATTCGTAGCGCCAAACTACAACTCGTCAAAGAGAAACACAAAGTCCCTACCCCAACCAATCTCTTTGCAGAACGATCTTGGCATCACTGCTCCTTCCGTCAGGCGCCGTCGTCTACCCACCCGGTATCCTCTTCTCTCAAACTTGTGTATTCTGAACTGCTCCACAGGTGTGCCCTTTTAGGCGGGTTTACTGAGGCGTTATCACACCTCCAACTGATCTACTTCGCTGCCCATCTTAATGTGCTGGAACTGCTGACTTGGCTCAAGCGCCCTCATACCCTCGAAGATCTGCATCATGTCTTACCGGCTGACTGACTTCACTCAGGTCTAACAATTGTATCTGTTTCAATCCAGGCCACAGTTGCCATGATTTACAAACCTGCTGATATCGCCCTGCAAATCAAATGAACATTCCGCTTCTCTCTATTTCAAATGATAGTTGGCGAAATGTACTGACTAGGCAGATCTCACGGTCATGCATTGCATTCACGGGCCGTCCTCGCAATTCAACTCATGTCATCTGAGCCAACTGACGACCTGTCTCTGGTCTTCGCTGCATGTTGAGTGATTCTGTGGTCGAGCTGGCTTCGCTCTACCATGCAAAATGGCAAATTCCTATAGGAACCGTGGCCATCCTTATCCCTACACACTTGATTAATCTTCTTTTAGTTTCAGATTGTCGGTCACGTGCCTCTTCCTTTCTTCCTGTTCCTCCGGTTCAAGATAGATCCAGCATCCGGGCTGATCTTGCTGACTCCCTGTGTCTGCCCAGTTTATACGAAGAAAAGTTGGGTTTCGAGGAATCTCTTGTT